ATGAATTGCAAATTTGCCTAGGCAAATGCTGCCTCAATCCTTCTGTTCCCCTGCCCATTCCCCGCAAATCGAACTTTTGGTTGGGTTGTTTTTTAAAGGTGGGGTATGTGTGGCCCTCCGTGTCAGAATCGTTTTGCATGGCGACCTACCTTTAATTGTCCTGCTCCTTAGAAATGCGGTCTGGACCTCCCCACTTTCCATCTCAACTCCAGGCTCTTTTGTGTGGAGCCGTTTACTTGCGGGCAAGTACGCCTTGGGGCGCAATAAAATGTTTAATAAATTGCAAAAGTGCGCCGAAAGTGGCGGAAAGGAAGCGGAAGCCAGTAAGGGAGAATATATATGGCTGGGAGTCAGGGAACACAGATGGCGCTGGTCAGGCGAAACAAGTCAATGACACATCGCAGATACAAACATATTCTAATGAAGCTTGAGTGGGGAACTCCAACTGCGGCGCACACACACACACGTTTTTTGGGCAACAGAGGGGGGCAGAAGGCGGGTCAGAGGCGGGGGCGTGTCACTGGGCGTAGCACTGGCGAGATGTTTGACTTGCTAGGCACGTAAAATGTATTGAATAATTACATTGGGCCGCCTAACGGCATACGAAATGAGCAGAAATCCGAGCTCGAATTCAAACTCAAACCGAAGTCAAAGTGGAGGCCGCGACAAGTGGCGGTCCGGACATTGGCCACGCCCCCCTGTCAGACCCCTCCCTCCTTCTCCCCTTCTCCCCTCTCCCACCTGCCTGGTGAACCTATCCTGCTGTCGAGTAATGAGCGCCACAGGAATTGGGAATTTCGAAACACAGCAGGAAATAAACATTTTCTGGTGACTACACCGCGACGAGAAGAAGAACGATAAAGATTGATGAATCCACAGAAATGCATTTCGGCCGACAATTGTTTTTCATTGGAACTCCGATTTGAAAAGGAGGGAGCAGGCCGATGGCCTTTAAGTAGTGCTAAAGTATCAATCAAAATGCGTGCGCTCGCTGGCAACAATCATGAAATTACATCGAAATTTTCGAATGCCCAGTCAAGGTGAAGAAGCCCCAACTTGAAACCGAATCCGCATCCCAAGTCTGGCATCGAATGCCTCAAGAGGCATCCGTAGAAAGAGCTGAGAAAACGGTTACCAAATCAGAGAAAACAAAGCGGGAACACAAAAGATGATTTATCATTACAGGAGGGAGGCAGAACGAAAGAACTGGTGGACTTACAAATTGAATTGCCAGAGGGGATCGGAAAAATTAGCTACGCGAGCACAGGCAAGAAAAGCATGTGGGAATGGCGAGTATTCGGTTTTATAAGACTACAGGCATAAGAATACCATAAAATGTTAAATATTAGTCTTACTTAAAAGGTTATAGCTGATCCGATTTTATTCGATAAACACAATTAAAATATAATAAGTTTAAGACATATTTAACTTTGAATGCTCAATGGATGTTTTCTTCGGATACATATATAATATTATCATCTAGTTCCAATTTGCTTGGCGATTGTGTGACTTAAATGAAAAGTGTTTTCCTGTAATTAGAATAAGACATAATTTGTCAGTCAAGCCACCCTCAAGTGACCATTCCGTTGCACAAAAAGCTTCCTTTTTTACGGATGGTTTTACGAGCTATTAGAAAACAATTATATTTGCTTTACCTGAGCGCCTTAAAACCCAATTTAATAAATGCCAAAGAAATTCTTTACAGAAGTTAAAGTCAATGTTTAAGTTTTAATTTATTTAAAATCAATTTACGCAAAATCTTGGCCAAATTCCCAGGAGCGGGCGGAGTAGGAGAACTGTTTCCGGACGGAATAAAAGAGCCAGCAAGGCACTGAAAAATCTTGCATAATTAAATTGTCCTGTTGCTGGTTTTAGTAAGTCTGTTTCTGTCTATATATCTGCCGAAAACTCAAACTCCCTCATTCTGTCTGTCTTATCTTCTCTCAGTCTACCTGCTTTCATTTGTTGCCTTATTGCTTGTGAAAATATTTGTCTAAAGCTCTTTGGCACTCAGAAAAACAATTTGAACTGCTTGAATTGAATTGAATTCAAAAATTTGAACTTTTGTTTTCCCGTTTTCTTGTGTTAAAAGTTAGATTTAAGCTTTGCAAGCCTATAAAATATTTCAGTTTAACACACAGTATTTTAGAATAATATGAATATGTTGTTAAGTATATTCGAAATATATTTTAGTTTTATTAAAAACCTAAAGAAAATAAAAAATAACTATACAAATAATTTTTTATTAAAATATATTATTATAAGCTATGGCTGTCAATCGAAATGTACAGGTTTTTCTGAGTGTGGCTGCGTATTCCGTTTGTTCACCATGCTCCTGGCAACATGCAACGTGCAACATGCCACACACTGTCAGTGTCTTTAATCCAGATGCGAGTGAAGCTAAATGTAGGCCCAGAAGGCAGTCGACAGGTGCTCCAGATCGAGTCTGAGCTGGGTTTTCGGGGTTTGCGGTTCAGGGCCATATCCACACACAATTACTGTGTTTACTTCTAGTTTTATTGCCAAAGCACCCGCTTCTCTTCAGTTAATTAAAGCTTGCCGGCAAGTGGAGAATCTTTGGGGTTCGAAGTGAGTGCGTGTGTGGCACTCCAGTTTGGGATTAGTCAGTGGGGCAGAAAATCCAAAGCAATTTGATTGGGGCTTTATGCGCATTCCGCATTTTATTTGAGTGGTGACCCCGACATGCAGCGTTCGCAGACAATTCCATTAACATTAAATGTTAATAAACGGCAGAGAGGTCCAAAGATTCCTCAACTGTCGTTCTTCGAATTGGGAAATGGGACCAGCCAAAGATCAGAGCTGGCGATGGGTCCCAGCTGATAAATTCATTTAATGCTCAGGGAACGGGAACCCAGAAAACACGAAGACGGCCTGAGGACCAATGTGGGGTAGGCAATGGCAACTGAAATTCGATATCATTTTGGGGGATGACGATGGTGATGTGTGCCCGATTGTGATAGTTATTACTGTTGGTGTTCCCATTATTGATGTTGCCTGGTGTCATTGTTGCTGTTGCCGCTTTGTTACTGCTGCTGTCATGCGGGGTTTCCCCTCAGGCCATCGCAGACTTACAAATGATTTTGATTTCAATTTTTTTCCCTTTTTGTTTGCCACCAACTATAACAACGCACCCCTCCACGCGGGAGATACAATTGAGGAGAATTTGACGAGGGGGAGGGAAAACTTTTATGTTACAATTTTCCATTAATACCACAGAATAGAGGCAGAGTTTGTGGGCAGACTTGACTGCGAAGTGAGGAGCTGGTGGTCTCCCACTGGGTTGCTCTGGACGAAAGTTAATAAATTCAAACACTTGAAACTCCATTTTTCTATATTATATTTCAACAAGAAAGGAAAGCTAACTTCGGGCGGAGCCGAAGTTGAAATACCCTTGCAGAATATTCTGCAAATTATATTCTCCAAAATCATTCATAATGCATTCTTAATACTCATAAAAAATCCCAACTTCCTAACTTTAAAAACACCAAAGTTATGGCATTTCCAATCGTTCAGTTATATGGCAGTTATATAATATAGTCGGCCGATCCTTATGAAATTTAATATGTCGGATTGATTAGGCAAAAATAAAACCCATAGAAAATCCCAACTTCCTAACTTAACAAACACCAAAGTTATGGCATTTCCGATCAATCAGTTATATGGCAGCTATAAGATATAGTCGGCCGATCCTTATGAAATTTGGTACGTCTGATTGATTGGCCAAATATAAAACCCATAGAAAATCCCAACTTCCTAACTTTACAAACACCAAAGTTATGGCATTTCCGATCAATCAGTTATATGGCAGCTATAAGATATAGTCGGCCGATCCTTATGAAATTTGGTACGTCGGATTGATTGGCCAAATATAAAACCCATAGAAAATCCCAACTTCCTAACTTTACAAACACCAAAGTTATGGCATTTCCGATCAATCAGTTATATGGCAGCTATAAGATATAGTCGGCCGATCCTTATGAAATTTGGTACGTCGGATTGATTGGCAAAATATAAAACCCATAGAAAGTCCCAACTTCCTAACCTAACAAACAGCAGAGTTATGGCATTTCCGATCAATCAGTTATATGGCAGCTATAGGATATAGTCGGCCGATCCCGGCCGTTCCGACTTATATACTGCGTGCAAAGGAAAGAAGGGTGTGTGCAAAGTTTCAATTCGATATCTTTAAAACTGAGAGACTAGTTCGCGTAGAAACAGACAGACGGACAGACAGACGGACAGACGGACAGACGGACAGACGGACAGACGGACAGACGGACAGACGGACAGACGGACATGGCTATATCAACTCAGGAGGTGATCCTGATCAAGAATATATATACTTTATAGGGTCGGAGATGTCTCCTTCACTGCGTTGCACACTTTTGACCAAAATTATAATACCCTCTGCAAGGGTATAAAAAGGAGTACGATTCCCGAACAAGAGTGCACAGGACGATAAAGGAGTAGAAAAAGCCATGGAAAAACCGGTCACCCAGGCACTCAACTTCCCGGCTACACTGGCGAAGTCACAAGAATTTACATATGAATGCCGGGAACGGAATCAAAGTGGGTAGGTGGATCGGGTATACCTCCAAGGAGCACTCACACATGACGTGTGGCCATAGACACCACTCACCCACAGATGACTCACATGCACTCGTCGTCGTCGGGCATTTTCAATTGCTAGTGAAGTATTAATGGCAGCATTTGAATAACAATGCGAATGCCGAGTCAGTCCGGCAGATTCTGCAATTCAAATGGAAACGACTGCCATGTCCCCAGAGATCCACAACCTCCTAGAACAAGTGCTGCAATTAGATCAAATTCGGGGGCTAATTTGAGGTGCATACTCAGACTGACATATCCATTGTTCCTATTAAGAACGTAGGGTACTCAATTGTCAAATCAATTTAACAAAGCAATCAAGTTTTTCAACCTCTTTTTAAAAATTCATTGAACAAAGTCGGAATGGAAACCTGTGTGTACATGAGATTTTTATTTTGTTATCTCTCAAATAACTTTAATAAATGTGTGTTTGATAACTCCTTGAACTGGACATTTTTATCAACTTCTTAATGTGGAATTATCTTCTCAAATACAGTGATGACGTACACGCCCCTTTTTATTTTAATCTTTCCCGAGATTGTTCCAAGGAATACAATGGTGCCAAGGGGATTACTCCTAGAATGTTACAAAGATTTTAAAAATGCACTTTTGCTGTCCATAGCGTCACCACCTTAATGTGAATCGTTATTAATGTGGACTCTTGGCTTCCTCTGCATACTGAATACCGCTCTTCAGAGGCGATTTCCAGGAACCTTCGACCGATGCCAGCCCACGTAGCATAATGAGCACAGATTTCAGGCGAATTTCGCCAGCTGAGGAAGAATTCACTAAAGATCAGCTGAATCAGTTTGTGGCTGCCCTGAAATATGCAAACGTCATTCGGATGCTGTTAATTATGGACGTGCGTTCCGACTGATAGCTGCATCTTGAAGGGAATCCATGTTGGGAGTGTATGTGTGTCGATAAAAAAGTATACTGTTTGTCTAGGAAACTGGGTTTTTATTCATTAATTTTTGACATTTACACAAAAAAACCGAAATTCTAGTTTTTTCGTATGATATGTCATCTTGCGCAACCAATTCTTTGGCAATTGTCCTACTGTTTTTTTCCAGGTAAGTTATCCCTTGTTGATTTGTATTCCCAAAATCTCTGATTCTTATAATTCCACCAGGCATTCTTGGTCAGTGCGTCGATTGTAACGAGCTTACATCGAGTCGTATTGCTGTCTATTTTCACCCGAGCTTGGGTGTCACTTGGCCCTCAACCCAAGTGTCTTCGATTACGAGAAGCTACCTGTCAGTAGATGCGGTGACTGTGTTGAGCACTGCCAATGCTGCAACAAGGGCGCCCCACCTGTCCAGTCCTGGACACAGGTCCCTCTTCTGGAGATTTTTGCCTTGTTGACCCAGGCGATATTCCTTGGAAGGTGAATTAAGAAGTCCAGGCTGGAGGTGGTGCGAACCTTATTGAATTCCGAACAAAGAATTGTATACTAGAGGATCATATACTACTTTACAAATCTCACGGGGTGCCTCAAGTTCAAAGAAAGTTCAAAACTAGAAAACCCTTATTTGTTTAGCTAAAAGTAAATGTTTTACAAGTAAGAGTACTGCAAAACTGAAGTCGATTCCATGTCCTTTGGTAAATACAATTTAGTGATTGAACCATTTGACCGTCCAATGCCATCTCTTAGTTCGTGAAAATGCCTAGAGTCCAGAGACGGCTGGTGGTACGTGACTGGGAACATTATTGTTTGCTTATCTACACCTAATTGCTTCTGGCTACACTTAATAATATGGCACTGGCATAGCCACAACGTCATCGTCATCGTCGTCATGGCGAAGTCAACTCCACCCCCGTCGGAAAATAAGGTGGAGGAGGTCTTGCTTGTTTGTTCGGTTTCCCACTTTGCGTTGGTCTACTCGCCGCTTTTTTCATTCAGCCCGAGATTTGTTGCACCATAAAAAGGGCTTCTCGAGATTCTTTCCCCTCGGCCCGCCGATTCCCCGCCGCCGCACTTCTCCCCAGGTTATTGTGTTCCATCAGAGGCAGTGAGATTCGGAGCCGGGTCCGTGGCTATTTGTTTGCCCATCCGTCGTCCGTTGTGCTGTCTTCTTGTTGTTTCTTGCCCTGCTCTTCTCGTTCTTTTCGCTTTTTCAATTTGGTGGGATGAAAAATTTCATTGGAATTGGTTTTTATTGTGGAGCCCCCTTCTGATGGATTTCTTTTTTCGGTAGGTACAAATTGTGTGACGCTAATGGAGCATGCGGGCGGGCGAGGGTCTTCGATTTTCCAGCGAAAGATGTTGGACATCAGACAGAGACATGCCTCATTAGCTGAGAAATTAAAGTCGTTTCGATCACCTTAAACTATTGAAACACTAACAATTGGATAGGAAACTTTGTGTTTAATTTCTAAGGACCATTAGGACGGTCGGTTCGGAGAATAAAATCATATTATTTTTCCAATTTTCCATTTCATTTTCCCCTTGGCATTTTCATCCATTTCGATGCCATCTATCTTGAGTGCTAATTGTTACGAATTTCCTACCACCTAAATGGAGTGGGGTTTGCGGGATAGGGGATGCTTTCAGTGGCTGTCCACAGTTTGCCCAACTCAAGAGGAGCAAAGGAAAGGAAGCTGGGAAGAGCAGTGGAAAATTCCGGGCTCTCTTGTTTCTCTCCATCCCTTTGCCTTTTCCCAGTTTTGCCCCTCATCCGTGTGTCGATGCATTCGTCGCAATGTGACAATTGCTAATTTAGCTGTGCGACCCGCCCTGCCCCCAACTGCAATTGGGGGCGTGGTCCAGGAAGTGCGTGACTCGACTGACTTGCAGTCTATGGGAATATCAATTGAAAAGGGGGCGGGAAGAATGGACGGGAATGGGGGGATGAGCGGCTGGTCTATGAACAATAATCAGGCTAATAAACATTTCATTCACAGGCCTCATTGAGCAGGGCCAATGATAACAACAACACGATGGCTGTCTGCATATGCCAAATGCTGAATAGGAGCCACGAAAACAAAGGCCCCCTTTTGCCTCTGCCCCTGCGGAAAACATATGGGGGCAGACAAGACGATTGCTTTCGTTTTCATCGTTTGGCTGTCATAATACGAGGCTCCAGACATAAACCGGAAATTATTGTTTTGGCTTTCTTTTCTCGGCCACAAAAGTTTTGCTTCGATTACGATAAGAAATCTGGGGGTGTTTATCCTAATTAGAAGGGAGAAATATTGTTGAGGCTTATACTTATCAAGTTGGTGGTCCATTTTATGAGCCCATTTACAAGTTACGACTTCACTAACCTGAAACGGAAAAGAAAATATGAAGTTTAGTGTTTTTCAGAACTTATTTGATTCAATTCTATTACAAGAAGAACTTAAAGAGGGTTACAAACGCAAAAGCACTCCCCTAAAATCACTTTTCCGCTGTAAACAGGCCAGACATCTGCACGTTGCAATCAAAGCAAGAACAATAGAACCACCTACAGACAGTCTCCAAACCCTTCAGCCTTCTATCCCATAAACTGGTTAATCCCACGCAAGCCCTAACGATTAACCAAGCCGAACCGAACCGAAACCCAAAAACAAACCCAATTCCAAACTCCAGCCAAGCCGAACCGCAATGAAAATTGCAGCCCAAAAGGAGTCCAGATAGGAACTGCAGATATCAATGTGGCAGGAGACGCAGATATAGCGACAGTAACGCCACCATAAACGCTGCCAGTAACAGTAACAGACAGAAAAAAACCGGGAACGGTAACAAAAGGCACGACTAAATGTGGGCTTCAAAGGAAAGTAAAAGAATTCCAATTAAAGCAATAGGAACAGGCAGCGAATAGAACGGAGGTTGGAAAATCTCGTTCAGGAATCATACAGACTTCCGATTTGGTTTTCAATTTCATAAAAAAGTATACTCTCCAGTGCACTGACCAAGTCACATCAGGATATAGCTTAATAATGTCCTTAAGTCCTCCAAATTCGCTGAATTATTTCAAAATATATTCCATATCATCTTTAAAACCTTTTATATATCATTAAAAATAGTATAATGGAATTGCTTCTTAATTAACATTGATATAAATAAAAGGAATATACAGACTATGCCTGATTTATAACTCTATCGAATGCAAATTATCCACTTTTAATAAGTGTAAAACACTTCAGGAAATAAACATTAAACTTTTTTATTTCTTGGCACTTTTTAATCGCTTATTTTACAGGAGATAATATTGTTTTTAGGTTTTAAACTAATTTTTAATCTTTAATGTAAAGTTTTGTTAGCACGCAAACGGAAGTGAACCCATTCAACATGGGAAAATAAAAGGGCAATGGGCAACAGGAAGGTCAAAGGGTAGGGGTCAGTCAAAAAGTCATCCCGCGGGTAGGCGGTACTATGGGAAATCCAAAGCAGTCAGCCATCTCAAATAAGCATATAGATGGGATTAAAGTTTACAAAGACCAACAAATAGCAACAGCATCGTTAACAACAAAATGAAAAAGAATAAGCAACGGAAAAGTTTTTAATACCCTGACAATAGAGGTTTTGAAACACAAAAGAGCTTGCAAAATTAGGCAAAAATCGTAAAAATGTTACTATTATTTAAGGTAAATTTTAGGGTAATTTTTATTGAAAAATATAGGGATATATAATGAATATTTTTTCATAAACGAAAATCATATTGTTTGCAACTGTCAAAAAACTTCCTCATAATATCTAGTTATCTACAAATATTAAGTTTAGTTTTATGTAATGTTAAAGACTTTGGAGCGAAAAAGTGTTAAATACTAGTTTAATTATCTTTTTATTTCCATATTTCTTTCGAACGATGTCAAGATTAAAGGACACATATTTATTTGTATATACAGAAAATGGCAGATTTTAAATATTTTGATTTGTTTCAAACTTGACGGAAAAAGAAAAGTACCCTTCTAGGAAAGGCAATCAAAATTGCATATCCAATGAGCGGAAGAGCGGAAGTGGCAAATGCAATAAAAAGGAGGCGGGAGAACCACGCCAACTGTCAAAACTCCCACGATGTCCGAATCTGCACTGAACAAAACGAACAAGCCTCGCACTCCGAAAGACGGGGCGTGCAACCCCTTGAGTGAGTTAAACAGAGGCGAACCCTGTCGAACGAACGGCGGTCGATTGGTTTGCAACAATACCAACATCTGAAGGGTTAGCACGTGGTCCACATCCAGCACAGCTGCACATCCACATCCACATCCACGTTCGTGCCGGGGTTCAGCTGGGTGTGCTCCTGATCCAGGTCCTGCTTGGGCATTTTGTATATTCAATTAACGCCCGCTTCCATGTCGAACACTTCCCCTAGTTGGGGCTCTGAGCTGGCAGGATTGGGTGGTTTCTATGGGGTAGAGCTCCTGCAAACCCACTTGTTTGCATTTCTAATGCAATTTGCGGCTGCAACGCTTTTGTTGCCCTGAACTGCCCTGCACCCAAATTGTGTGGCGTGTCGTGTCCATTAGCACCTCAACGCTCATAATACATATTCATTAATGCCCATCACGACTCCCTCGTCACTACCCCACCGTCGATCCTGAACACGTGGCCGCCAAGCGAGGGTTTAATTAACCTCCAAGGGGAGCTACCTTATCCGGGGTCAATCGCTTTAACTGCAGTGTGGCAGATACACATTTTCACCCATCCAAAACCACCTCTTTCTTATCCTTTAACCGGAAACCGTAGCTCTTCGAGTCACCGCAAAATGTTCTCATTCATTAAACTTTTGGGAAACGTAAAGCATAGTACCAGCCCCAAGTCAAACTTGATTGACTATTGTAATTGCTGTCCACCCCCCTCAAACCCCCTTCCAAAACACGAAATTCAAACCCAGAGATTTTGCCTGGGACAATCCGTTGGACTTGCTCCTTTTTTGTCTTACACATTAGTTAAAGCTTGCGGGCAGATTAACAACAAATAACTAACAAACACAACAAAACACTTAAGCGAAACACTTTTA